TGGGCACGCCCTTGGGGGCCAGGCGCTACCCACCACGGCAGACGGTGGGCACGCCCTTGGGGGCCAGGCGCTACCCACCATGGCAGACGCCCGACAGGGTGGGCTGGAAGTCACTCGCCCACACGGGCGAGCATGAGTGCAAGAGTGTGTGTGCCAAGGATGTCAGGGCTGCCCTGTTTGCTTCCACTGGCAGGTCCCGGATTTGTGCAGGTGAGGGACGGAGAGTGGAGCTCACCTTGACGCTGACTCCCCCGACACCACAGAAGAGGGAGGCAGGCGTCGACGTTGTGATGACGGGCAGGGGCCCAGCGAACACTTGCACGGCACGGCACTCACTGTGCTCCAGGTGCCGTCTGAAGCGTGTCAGGGAGCAGCCAGTGTTTCAGCTCGGGCAGTCAGACTCGGTCCACGCACTGGGTCCTCGGGCCGTGCCGCCATGCAACAGCTAACTGCGAAGACAGACGTGGGAAGACTGAAGCCCCTGGCTGCGGGGCACCACACCCTCCAAATCACCTGGTTACTCACCTCGGGAACTGCCCTGGCCAACTGATCAGAGTGACTACTGATCCAAAGTAGGGTCTGGGATGACAGAGCCTGATGCCAGTGTCTTCAACACCAAAGCTTTAAGAGGTGAGACTCAGACCTCTCTCAGTGTAAGGAAGAAACCGAGATTTCAGCCAGAGCTTTTACTTTTTTTCTCTGAAGTGCTTACAGGAGCTCTGTGTGCTTGTCTCTCTGTGTTCCCTGCCCGCCCCACCCTCTGGGTGTAGCGCCCACACTGTCCTTTGGGAAATCATCCCCTTACCACCTACTACCCACTGACTCTACAGTGTGCAGCAAGTGACCCAAGCCCACCTGGCAGAGCAGAGCTTCCCTGGGGCTCAAAGAGGTGCAGACGGCCTGGGTCTGGGTGCCACCACTGTGAAGAGCGTTCCTTTCACTGGGGCGAAGCTGAGACATAAACCTGGACTTTCTGGTGACCATTTTCATCACCTAAGGATGCCTATCTGATTAAAACCAAAGCAGAAGATAACAGTACCAAGAGACAGATTCCCAAAACCACGTCATCACTAGACCCTCTGTACCTTCTGAACCCGTCTTTGCCAAAATTCTCTCAGAGGTCACCTGCGATGTGTTCCATATACTGTTTTCCTGGCCTTATCTCCTAGAAGTTCTGATTCCTAGGTCTACCTTGGGACCCAGGAATCTGTGTTATTACAAAGCAAACTAGGTGATTCTTAACAGATTAAGTTTGGGAAGCACTGCCTAGGATGAGTCAGAAAACCAGTAAATACTCCTACTGGCTTAAAAGAATTTCAGCAGGTTTTCTGTGCCGCTTTCACCTAATTCTGAGAAATCAAATAGGTTAGTGAACCCGAGCTAATATCCCCCAAACAATGTTAACAACAGTTCTTAGCTTGAAGAAAGGAAAATAAAAAAGCTTTCATCATATGCTAATCAGGCTAAATAAATCCAAGAGGTATACAATGAGACCAAATAAAGTAACAGTAAAACATAACTTCACTAAACTGCACTAAATTACAGTTCCAGTGGCTTGTGTATGGTCAACAATGTTTACACACGTTACATTTATAAGGCTGGTAATGTTTATAAACATTGTATTTATAAGCAGTATGTGAAGATGTTCTCATGACATACAAAGGCCTGCTCTTTGCCAACGTTCCAGTAAATTCTGACAAATATTTGGCTGTAAGCAGTTATAATCACCATTTTACAGTGACACGGCCTCTCAGTTTGCATTTCCCTGTAAGCTTTGAAGGCCCGGTCTTATACTAGTATCACAGGTGGTAGCATTTTCTGACAGAATTGTACTCTGATATTACAATTCGCAAGTGACACTGATTTAGCTTTTGACCACTCTTAAATGGAAAGAAAACACACATGCTTTCAATAAAAACCAAAACTGCACACTGGTACTCACAGAAGGTGACAATCGCTCCAATTTTATTTTGTAATGAATAGAATGATGTCCCAGTTGCAAAACAAAATAAATAAATTAGTAATGCTAATATAGATATTGGCTACTGTCTCTTTTGTTATCAAGAACCTTAAATTGTATCTCTGGACAGAAATCTAAAACTTTCCAACTGTCTTTTTTTAATCCCCATACCACCTACCCACAAAAAAAAAAAAGGAAGAAAAATAAGCATATTTTCCCACAGAACCTCACAGTTTCCTATACCTTGTACAGGGTATTTAACAGTAACTTTTATCTTAACTGTAAGAGATACCAGTTACTCAAGTAACACCCTACTACTACGGGGGTGTAGTGAGGTCCCCACTTTATGCTTTCTCTCGCCTTTAAATTCAACATAAATATTTCAAAAATAAGGTCAATACAGGGTCACAAGCGGAACCTGTTCCCTCCTGAGAGCACTCTCGGGTACCAGCCCTCTTCTCAAACAGCTGAAGAGCGCCTGTTCATAACGCAGAGCACCTTATCCACAGTTTATCGGAACAAACAAGCAAGCAAACAAAAACATCCTCCCAACAAGCTTTTATGAGGCAAACAAGAAAATAGAAAATCTTCATTTTTATCTAGAAATGAGGAATTTTCAGTTAATAGCAACATTAGGAACAGACTCTAGGTCTCCTAAGCCCCTCTCCAAGTTTCATCTAGATAACAAAGTAACAGCTTCAAAAAATCCCAAAGTTATAATTTCAAAAAGAAAAAAACCAGCTCCACCTTGTCCTCTTCTGCTGGTTAGAGGTAGTAGAGGCGATTGGAAAGTGACAGGTTGGGCTCTCGGTGGATACTCTGGCCGACAAGGAAAGCCAGCTTGTGAGCGTACTGACAAGGAGCAGGCACACGAATGACGCCCTTTAGTGAAAAAGAAAAGAGGCCTATTACTCCAAATCTACCTCTCTGAATTGCAAATCTCACCATTACCTAAAATCCTTTTAAAACACAGCAATTCTATCTTGAAAAGTTACTCTTCTCACTGGTGTGCATGAACACCAAGAGACAGAGGGACTTACCGGCCAGTTATAATACACGTGGCACAGCTTGTACGTCAGCCGCTGAATGTGGTCTGGCTTGAGGCCACTGTTGTCGTAGATGACATTATAGTGTGTGGGAGAAACACTGCCACTTCTCACAGCCTGGCTCACGATGAAAAAGTCATACCTGGAATTACGGAACACACGCGTAAGGCCTATCTGCTGAAAGCTGAAACCCAGATGACTCAAGTTTCTTGCAGTGGGGAGATCCTACGTACTACTGCAACCTAATTCCTTCTCAGGACGGAAAGTGCCTTCCTTGAAGCCCCGGGACTTGTTATTCCTCAACAGTTTTAAAACCTGTGTATGTAAAAGACACTATTCTTTAGAGTTTAAATATTTTTTCAACTGACACCTCAGGGAAGAACCATTTGGTATGGCTGCTAGCTAATTACCATGTCATCCTCTGACAGCCCCATGCTTTGCCCTCGCACCCTGAGGAGGGTGACAACCAGCAGGAGCAGAGGCTCAACGAGGGCAGCAACTGTGGGAGAAGCTGAGTCTTGTTCCAGGGACTCTCGTTCCCAAAGTATGACTTCACCACAGAAGCTCTGCCCCTCTCCTGTCCCACTGTTATTTAATAAAGACATACTTAGCTAATTTCATCCTTAAGGATTTAAAACGAACCTTTAAGGGGAAGCAGAGACCACAAAAGAGTATACACAGAACTAGTATGGGACCCAGATGTAAGACAAAAACAAAGCAGTGCAAACGTGAAGGGATATTTAGAACTGTTCCTTTTCTAGGTACCAAGAAAACCTCCATCCACACATACCGATGTTGGGAAATTACCTCGCCATTTATTATGCCCAACAAAACTAGAGAAATGATAAACCACGCTGATCTAGAACAGACTCTATGGTGTTCTAGAAGAAGAATGATGTCATCAGAAGTGTTAAAGGACTTGCCCAAAAGGACAGAGATCACAACAGCCAGAATCAAAACCCAACTGAAGTACACAGCGTTCCAAGTGCCGGGCACAAGAACGATCCTGGTGTTCACTCAGAGCAGACTTCTCCAAGCGCGGCAAGAGAAGCAGCAGCTGCTACGTTTTAAACAACATCTAGGAAAAAGATGCTTCATCATTTGACTTGCCCAATCTCTTTAAGTCAGTTCTGTCTCCATGCTACCTGACCCTGGACCTTTGGTTCCTGGAGAGGCAGTAATGTTAAAGAGAAGCCCGCAGGAAATCAGTCTGCTGTGTTATTATTTGAGCCTTTGTCTTCCTCCGCTTATTTTCCCTACTCTGTTAGAATCCTTCTGAATCACCGTCATAACTCACATCTACCTCAGGAAAGCTAGAAATCCAGACAATGCGCCTCAAAATAAGAATTTCTACCTACTGTCAGATAACAAAGCCGACCATCATTTGTTAGTATAGTAATGCCCCACTGACCCAAGGTTCGTACGGGAAAGCATATATGTAAACGTTGCACATACAAACTTCGCATGTAAGCCACACACAAGCAGGGTGTTAATTTGGGCTGATAGATGAGGTGTCATTACAAACATGATATTGCTCAAAAGGATGCTTGAGCAACTTGAAAAACCTGAACCAAGTCTCAGCATTTTACAGGTGAACTCTGGTGTGTGCTGAGACCAGGACCTTATGCCATCAAAGCGCCCTGTTCCAGCTGGCTTTCTTATTTTATCTGGCAGAGTATGGCTCCAGGTGACACACAAAAGGCTCTGTGTACTCAGAAGCCACTGTTCTCACCTGCAACTGTGTTTCAGAGGAAACTGTTTGACTTCTGGCTAATTAGTACTTTAGCACTCTAAAGATTCTAATTAGGAAACAAGAATCTGTGCAAGAAGCTGTCGAGGTAAAAAATGCAAAAGCAGGCCACACCAGCAGTTCCTACCGTTTGCGTGTATAATGCCTGCTGTCCCCAAAGAAAAACTGCACACAAACTTCTGTTCACTTTCAGACACAAATTTAAGAAAGCATGGAATTTAGTAATACTGTTAGATCAAATTAGTTGAAGAATTTAGTATTTCTAAGTAGAAATACAGTGTAAGAACTGAAAAGTAAGTGTGTGAAAGTTGGTTGATGCCATGCTCAAGAAACCAACAATCTTCATCTAACTCCCAGAACTTACCACTCTGGTCTGGTGACCTCCACATCAATGACTGTTCCCGGAAGTGGATTTTGGAGTCTTCCTCCAGACTGAGCAAAAAATCGGGCATTGACACGTTTCTTCACCACAATTACTGTTAGCCTTGGGCTAAAGACAATGATGAAAGTAACTACATTTAGTCAGTCTTATCTGCAAAGGTTGCAGGGCACTGGCTGACTCAGATATTCCTATACTCTCTAAAAAAGGGACACACACCCTGCTGGGCACACCCTCTGTATAAGCTGGAGGAAGAACACGAGGATCAACCTTAGGAGCAGGAGTAAGTCGTGGGTGGAAGATAAAATGGCCTAGGCATTCACTGCGACACTACCTCACGGAGCTGTGCTGTCCACAGACCAACACAGCCACATCTACCACACCAGAAGGCTAAATCCCATGTGTCTCCCAAGCTCACAATTCAAAACGCTCTTCACAGGGCATTTCCTACAATGTGGGAAACAAGATTTTAACCCCGAAATCCTCAAGGTAGTTCAAGTTAAGTGAGTAGTCTCAAGATCTAATGTACTGCCCTTCAAAATGACAGTTCTCAATATATCAGGGGATATAAATGACACACTTTCAGGAGGAAGAGCTTCATGTGGTGGGTAGTATTTCCCTGGAGTCAGAAAAGACTTCATGTGCAGACTACCACACGATGAACACGCTGACCCCAGACGCTCACTGTTTATCCTTCCGCTCCCCGACTAAACCAGCAAGCTTCCCTGCTGCCCCATGCCATGCCCGTGACACCTGAGCCTGGCCGCTTCCCCAGGAGGGCTTCCAGCTCTGTCTCCACTCAGACCTGCTGCCCTGCGCCATGCCCGTGACAGCCTCTCCAGAGGTCCACCCTGAAACCACCAGTCCCTGGTTTGCTGCAGTGCCTTCTGTGCCCTTCCTACCCACCTCTTCAAGTAGTTATACTTGTCCTACAAACAATCCTACTAGGAATAAATGAATCAGAACGTGCAAAGCACTTACAGCAATGCTGGTGAGTAATAAGCACTCGATACATATTACCATTATTATTGCCTCAATTATTTTATGTGCCCCTTTTCCAACTAGAATGTTTAGTTCCTTAAGAGCACAGATAGGATTTATTCCAGACACTGGGAAGCATGCAGAATGGGCCTAATGATGTCTGACTTGTAATTTTGCTGATGTTTTTCTGCAAAAATTAAGTAGGGCAAGTAGTTTACAATACACAGTCTAGACTTCTGTTCAATGATAAACCCAGCTGCACTTCTTTGCGGTAGTGGTAACTGAATATACAAGCAATCAGTGATTTTCCTTCTATAAACGGAGGACATTTTTAGAAATATCACTGTCTCCCATGTGGACATATTGCAGCTAACCTCGCTCTGGATATGACCAAGCCACAGCGACTTCACCGTAAAGCCTTGGGGCTTCACTTTCAGCCCGTCATTTATTGAGACAGGCTTCAGAGGAGGTCTACGGTGATGGCAATCTGGTGAAGTGATTACTGCCCAGGATTCAGTGACAGCATGCAAAGTGCTCATCAGTCTCAGCAACAGAAAGACTGAAGGTGGATAATTTTAATCCTGTAACATCCTAAGAAACAATTCATTTTTAGAATTAAAAATTGAGAAGTCACCTAACAAATGAAGTTAGCAAAAGTGGTAAAAGAAAGACAAGTCACAAATATGCTGAAGTGGCTTTCTGATTTGTTCTGATATCAAACATTCTGAATCAGCTAATAATTCCCAGGAATTTCACCTTCACACGCCACTTCAAGCATTTTTCTAGGAGAACTGTCTAATCAGGTACTGTGTGTAGTACATTAAACACATTCTCACTTACTCCTTTCGACAGTCTAGTGAGTTACTTCCCCCATTTCACAGATGAAGGCAGAGCTGGGGTTAGTCCATCTCTGATTTTAGGCTTACTGCTCTTGACCACTGATCTCTACTCCAACCACGTAACTGACCAAGTGACCACGTGACATCAAAAAGCTGAATGTGGTGGTTTGTTGGGCACCAGTCCAAACAAGCAACCAACGTGGTCCTGCCCTGTGATGGGCATTCCCACTGGCCAAGAGGAGCCAGGCACGTCAACTCCTCCAGTCTCACCCGGCTCAGTGCCGCCAGGCTGTGTCAGACACACATGGGGACCACTGTTTACAGACTGGCACTTACTAGGGCTGCAAACTCCTCTTCAACAGCTATCCCTGCTGGGAAACAAACCCAAAGGACTCAAAGCACCGGTGAGGCTGCCCTGGCACCAGCCAACAGTGCACACCCCCCAGGCCCCCAGGACTCAGGAGATAAGATGAGCCTGCACTATCACTTCCACTCTGCACTTCTTGAAAATGTCTTTTTTCTGGGGAAAAGAAAAAGGCAATGAAGACTAGAAAATGCTAAGTGCTGAGATCTTTCCATCTCCCTTCCCTCCACGAGCTCCCAGACGGAACATAAGAGTCAGAGAGATACAAAACAAGGCCCACAAAACCCCCAAACCAAAAGACAATGGAATTAATACCATTCTTTTAGGGAGAAAATACAAACATTAACATTTAAGGGGTAAAAAAGAACATTAGCCTTCATTTCCAAAATATTATTAAAATGCTTATATGTCAGCCTTTTCATCGGAAGCACAATTACTTAGAAAAAGATGAAAACACCCCTGGCTTGCTCTGAGAACTCTGCGGCATCATGCCTTACTTTAAGAAATTTCCAGGACCAACATTAATTTGGGGGAGCCTTTTCAAATTTGCCAAAGATGACCTTGGAAGTATCTTCCAGTTGGTTGACCAAGCTCCGGATGCTCATCTCGTGGACCATATGAAATCAAAGCAAGCCCCAGGTATGGTCAATGGCATTCAAAATCCCCCATTTCTGTTTAACATCTATAATGACATCAAATGGTGGTTGTAACAGCACAACAAAAATAAGCAGCGTTTAAGAACGTACATTCAAGTACACACAAGCAAGGCCCTGGGTCTTCTAGGAATCCTTAGAAATCAAATCCTCAAATCCCTACCATAGTATGCACTGACCCCTGAGTTCAAACAGCCCCTCACAGAGAAAATACCAGCAGGGAAACAAGGCAGCCTGTTAGACAGTTGTCTTGAGATGGCACGCAGTTCACTGCCCAAGGGCACCGACAGTGGCGGTCGTGGGTGAGCAGAGGAGAGCAAACAGCATTCAGGATCTCACAGAACTAGCGTAGTGCTCAGATACGACAGCACCTCGCCGGCTGCCCGTCTCGCGACTGAGCGCGCGACAGTCATTTACCTGAGCAAGCGCTCATCGAGGGCACACAGACTACACAAGCATCCCTAGGACACTGAGGCAGAGAAGCATCGGTTAGGACTAGGTGCAACACTCATTTCAAGAACCAGTTCTGTGACTGCCTCAGGTGAGAAGCATACAACCCGATCCTAAAGGTGCCTTGTTCCCACCCTCGTGAAAAATCCCCCTTCCATCGCCTCAAGCCCCACTGCACCAGCAAGGTTAGGTTCTCACTTACCTTTTCATCTGGTGACACTAGTTTCAAAGATAAAAAGGTGTAACTTTAAGAAAAGGGAACATTTTTATGATTTTCATGCTTACTTGTAACCTCTACCAACAGATTTCAGGCAATCTAAAAACTGTGGTACTTCATAGTTAACCAGCGTTTTCAGCTGACCGTCTCCCACACCGTCCCGGTAGACTATAATTCTACTAGGCATGTACTCATTGCAGCTATTCCAAGCCCTCAGAGCAGCTGAAAGAAAACCAGAATAGTTTTAAATAAATTAGCACTTAGAACAGAAAATGGAACGTTTCTCCAAAATTCCATTTTCAATCACATAGCTCTCAGAATGGCTTCCTGGGGCCCCTCGCTCACAGACCAGCATGCCAGCACCACAGAAAACTCACCTTGCAAGCAGACCTTGAGTCCGTCCACCAGCTCTTGTCCTCTATCTTGAAATACACAGCGAGAGAACCAGCTGTCCAGAGAAAAGTTTGACTCAGGTGAGAACGCAATTATCTAGAAGTTTTTCCTGAATTATTCTACTATTCTATTATTTTGCTCTTAGCAATTTGTGACTTTCTGTAACTTTCTTTGAAGATACCTAACATCTCCAAATACTTTACGGAATCTTAAATAAACCGAAGGATCAAGATACAGTAGATCCCTCATAGACATCACAGACTAAATTTTCTTTTATTATAAATGCATACTATATAGTTCCATCTGCTGGGAAGAAAACCCAGTTTAAACCATACTACCCAGAGCCACCTCCCAGGCTGATACCTAAATACACACAGAAGTACACTCCTACTGCTCTGCTCTTGAGAAGCCACGTATTACAAGTTTCTTCTAAAAGAGGAAAGACTGTGAAACATCCATTCGTAATACTAACACATTAATTCACCTTCAATTTTCATTCTTTCCTATTCTTGGCAATTCCTTCAGTTCTAAGGAAAGCACTGAAAAGTAAGTGTATTATGCTGACTGGAGCGGCTTTTCGATATAAAATCAACATGAAAACTTGAAATTACATTTCAGTGGTCCATAAAAATTATTAAACACAGAAGTTTTTAGGGGTGGATTTAATGAGATGCACAAATAATAACAAAAGTAACGTGAAATTAGTCTGACTACTACAGAATATGAAAGTCACTAGAAAAACTTAAAAAGTCAAGGTCGGTAATACTTTTCCTCCCTATGTTTCTGCTAAGTCAATGATAGGAAATGCGGCAGGATAATAATTAACCCAACAACTCCTGTGCCTCCTAGACCTCTTAGCTACCTGGGTTGATGTCTTCTTTTGCCTATGTCTAACAGGTCTTCTCTTAAGCTTACAGAATCCTAGCACCCTAAATGCTTACCCCCAGCGTGTATAATTCAGGACTCAGTGAAAGGATTGCTGAGTACCGCTGCCTGGTGAACACATATAGACCTGTGTGCACGATCAAATATGGTAGTCAACAGCCACATGTGGATGTGGCTTGTCTGAACTGAGGTATGTAAAATACATGCCAGAATTTGAAGACTTATAAAAAAGAAAAAAGACTGTAAAAAAAAAGTTCTGATCATTGAAATGATAATATTTTGGACATACTTAAATAAAATATTTAAATTACTTTCAACTGCTTCTTTGTAATTTTTACTGTTTCTGAATTACCTAACTGGCTGGCATCTGGTATCTGCTAGATGGTGGGGAAGCCCAGTGGTTTGCAGTGCCTGCTCACCCCACCTCTACTCTAGAGCAGCCTGCCTTGCCGCCTCTCCTGTTGAGCCCAAACGTCGACCCCAGTTCATGAGCTCTGACCAGTTAACTATCACCACCAAATCTCACTCACCGGGTCATCCCTTCATTGATGCTGGCAACAAATCCTGCAATTGACCTCCGTCCAGCTGTGGTATCATGGTAACAATCAATACCAACAATCATCGCTAGCTTTAGCTTAAATAAAAATACGGTAATTTTAGCTACAACACAATACTGTCAGCGCTTAAGAAGTAAATGTTAATGAAAAATTGTTTGGTTTTGTCCAATGACAAATTTTCTCTCCTAACACAGACTTACTGGCATGTCCACCCTCCAGAGCTCTCCCCCCATCTTGCAGTTCATCTGTAGGGCGATCTTTGTGGCAATGGCCATGACTGTCTGCTGCTTCCCTAGGGTGCGGGCCACCACACACTGACTGGGGGTAGGGCAGTCTGTACATAAGTACTTCTTTATAGCATCATACTTGTCCTTTCGATTACTGGACAGCAGGCAGACCACCTGGAGACAAACAGAACACCCTCATCACCACCAGTCAGAGATGGCACTCAGTTCAAGGGGAGGACGGCAAATCAAACCCACCTGTGGGGTACAAATGGCAAACACAATCATTTAGTGTTCACTTCTGCCATAAAGCTCATCACTATGACAGCACTCATTTTTAGACACTGCTCGTTATATTTAACTTAGTGATAGATCAGAATAGAGAAAAAAAACCACGTTAAACAATTAAACTCAAAACTGCGCACCATTTAATCTTGAGAATGCAGTTCCATGTGTTCTATTAAAAGCCTGCAACAGCTCTGAGATGGGGAGCAGGGAAGCACAGGTAGTGCTGCTTCCCAGGTGGGTAAGTGGAAGGTGAGCGGAGGGATCTGCTCAGATCTTCTAGATGCGCACAGTTCTAACTTCCTCAGAGAACCATAACCTGGCATCGTGCCTCTTAAACCTCTGGGCTTCAGAATCAGATCAGACTAGGAACTTTCCTAGAAGTCTATGGACAATTTGGGGGACAAAATGGACTGCCTGATCTAAAAGTACCTCTCCTCAAACCCTGGAGTTCCAGAGTGAAGATTCTGGAGCTGAATCCAGCTATTTAACTCATTACTGTATTTCACAATTTGTAATTCCCAGAGTCTTATTCTTTTTCTTTTCTACAGACGTGGGTATCCCCATCATTCCAGACAAAGTAACAGTCATCTGCCTGTGGGATGGAGAGCTAAGAAGGGAGACTGGAGGAAGCCAATTCATTTTTTAGGATTAAAGCAACCACGTAGAGATGGTGTTATCACTGACCCTGTCGCTGGGCCCTCCTCATCACGCAGCCTCCCGGGAGCTGAAGGTGACAGCTCCAGGGTGCAGGGGAACTTCCTTCCAGCACTCCACATCCCACAACTTGCGGCCCCCTTCAGGACGTATCTGTGTGACTCTCGTTACATGTACACGCAGGCCTGAGAAATGAACTCTCGCTCTGTTCGCAGAACAGTAGATGAAAACTCCTACTAACAATGAGTGGACTCTGTCCTTCTTCCCATCCCACTTTCTGTCTCTACTCCCACAGTCACAACTAACTTCTCCCTCACCGCTCAGTTTTTCTCTCACACTACTGTCATTCGACTGTCCTGCAACTCACATACACATCCCCTTAGCAGACCTGCGTCAGTGTTACGCCACAGGTATAAGGGGCAGTAGGAACTGACCGACCTACTCATGGCAGCCACTACAGGGCAGGCTACACAGCTGGTTGACAGAAGTAGTAAGATAAACATAACCAGCTGACTGCACCTCTTCTAGGACCCCAATTCTGCTGAGAGCAGTAACAGCTGAGCCATTTGTCTTCAAGATTTTACCATCAGGGTCCCAACAAAATAGATGGAATATTCAAATTGGATAATTTGATGAGGGACTACAAAGGGACTATTTGCGAAGTCTAAGCAGTGCAGGACACCCTAACCTCTGCACCCAAGGAGCACGGAGGGGCGTGGGGCACAGCAGGGACTGGCTACGGGACCTGGGGGGTTCTGTGCAGAGAAAGGCACCCGTCAGGAGTGGGGGCCCACCCTCCTCAAGTCAGAGAGTGTCCCAGAGCACTCTCCTCCCCTCGCCCTCCACCTCCACCTCCACCGTGGAGCAGGGCATCTTGAGGCCATGACGCGAAGTCCTCCGGAAGAGCCTGAGCGCAAGGGAGAGTCTGTCCCACACAGGATAAGATCGAGGCTGTGCCAAGGTGTTCCTCCACTGAGTCTACAACTCCATTTGGTGTGTTATGCTAGGCATGCGGACTTGGAGAAAAACCAAGGCCCTGCTTCTCACGTGTATGAAGGCTACGATACCCTATCGATCTCACAAAAACACAGGTTAGACTTGGACAGGGGGTCGCTGTGGGAAGTACCGGGGAGGGGTGTGTGGGAAAGGGGAAAGCGGCCTCACCTAAGGTGCTGCGGCTGTATTCACACAGACACTGCGAAGACGCCACCGCGCAGAGGCCCTTCTCTCGGGGCTGGGGACACAGCAGAAGCCAGGCCCGCGTCCCCTGCACTGACAGTGCCTCTGTCTGCAGTGAGTGTCCCGTGGCTTTCTAGAGCCGCCTGCAAAGGTCCAACAAGGACTTCGCACAAAAAAGGACCCCTCTGACAGCCTGAGAAGCCTCCTCTAGCGAGAATTCAGACTGGCTGGGAGTGGGGGACACGGAGAGCTAAGTTTTAGACGGACTGAGCTCGAGTTGTTGGCTGGCATCGTGAGCAGCAGCACGACAAACCCTGATGGGGCTGCTGGGAAGGCACCCAGCCTTGCATCTCATTTACACCGCGATGGGCCCTGTGAGGTGCAGACTATTACAACCACTCAGAGGGGGAAATGGGAAACGGAGCCCACGATCAAACTGGCTGAGCTGAGAGACGGGCCCAGGGACTGAACTCCAGAACTTACACACTTAAGGCACATGGCTACAGATGAAAACAAAACAAAAACCAAAAACTAGGCCCAAAGACCTGAAAACGCAGAATACAGATAAAATAAAAATGCTCCATCTTAACTGGCCTCCACAGTCTAATCTCCCCTCTCTGGTTCCGGCCTCCTATACCTCCCGCAAGAATATCACCAGACAGTGAGACTCCACACCCAGGAGTAGGACCTCTTTTTTTTTCTGTTCTTCACCTGCCTCCCCCAGGCCAGCACTCATTCCCCGGTATGGGTGGGCAAGCACACACACAACAGTACACTCAGAGAGAAGGGAACAGGTAGAATGGCTTAGGATGAGGACTCCACCTCTATTTTCAAACTCGCAAGGTGACTTGGATACCCACTGAAGCTTACAAACTTGGGGGTTTTGAGCGGACAGCCATCCTTCCACAGATCTCACACCACACTGTAAACGGTGCATTTCTATTCGATCGTATTTCTTGCAGGATTCATCTCCGGTTCTGTGTGCACCGAACAACCGAGAGCTGATGCTTACTTTTGTGTCTTTGTTTTTTCCAAACTTTCTTGAATAAACCTTTGTAGTTAAAAAAGTTACGTGATAAACTTTGAATAATCACAACCTCCGAGTGAGAAGAAGTGTTAGGATGGCTTCGTTTCTCTCCGCCTCTTCTCACCTTCTGCAGTGCACGTGCTCCCAGGCACACACCTAACGCTAACAGCGGTTTAGCTGCCTTCAGGAGGCAACATATATACAGCAAAAACTCAGCAAGCCAGAACCTGTGTAAGGCAGAAACCTGTCAGAGAAGGAAAACTCAGGTATTTCACACCAACAGAGAGCGCCAGAGAAGCGGTGAGACTGCACACTCTCAAAGGCGGAAAACTTGGGAGACCCGGAAGAACAGGGCAGTCCTGTCGAGTTTCGGCTCTCAAAGGTTTCACCGTTTATGTCTGTGGCTAGTTTGGGAAACTAGAACACTTAGAAAATGAACTCAGTTCTAAGATTTACAAACGCCCCTTTTAACACAACTCGTTCACTAAAAACTGCCTATGTATCAACTCTGATTGCAAATGAGCGCACTGATGGCTCAGGACCAGGCGACACTTCTGTTACACACAGGGCTGCCATGAGGAAGAGAGGACTTGAGGGTAACTAACACTACAAGTCAATTAGCTACTTACTATCTGGGTATCTGACGTAACCTTCTGCTGTAAGACTCGTAAATAGGCTTCAGTTCTATCATCTACCTCAATCCTAGAATGAAAGGACATAATCCAACATTCAGAAAAAGTAATAAAAATGGGACAAGCATAAGCAATTGTCTATAGATTACAGCACATGAAATCTTTCTGTCTAAAAGATAAAAGAAAACGCCAAGAACTGCCACGAAGGAAAAAGGTTATTTTGAAGACATACAACGGCAACGGTTCAATTTCAAGCACATAGTTTGGAAAAAGTCCTGCTTGCTCTTTCCTCCCACCACCAAGTTACTGAAATACATGTCTGTGCGCCCACATTACAGGGAGTCTAGTCAAATCTGTACGTAACGTTATCTTGTTTACTGTTTGTTTTAAATAGTTCATCTCTTTGAGTTCTCCCAAGCCTTCAAACAAACACCGGCCGGTTCGCAAAGCAGAAAGGACTTGACAGACTTACATTACTGCTTTTTTCATCTGTATGCCCATGGCTGGAGTGACTTTAAACAGGTTTTGTATCAGTGAATTGGCTGCTTCATAATTTCTTCGCGTGTAGACCAGCAGCCAGTTATCCAGTGGCTTGACGCTGATCAGGGGAGCACCTCTCGTTTCTTTTGACCAGTCTGCAGACTGTGGATTGTAATCAAACTAGAAGAAAGGTCAGAGACACTGTGAACTCCACTGCAAGTCTTCAGTCATAAAGCTTACCACAGCACATTCTGAACCTTACGATACGACTCTGGAAACTGAGTTACAGTGACCGACAAAATGAACCTCAGAGCGGGGAAAACAAGTGTGTCCACGGGATGCTGTCATTTTACTTCAGTATAGTCACAGTCGCGGCCAGCACTCGAGGGCTCCCCTGTGCCAGGTACTCCCCCCACGTGCTTTAGTGGTATTCTCCTTAACCATCTCGGGAACTCACAAGGGTAGGTTTTCCTTCCCGCATAATAAAGACAGAAAAAACAAGGCTCTGAAAGTTAAGCAACTTGACTGAGGTGCCAGATACTGAAAACGAGCTGCAAAGACGTCTGACGGCAAGGTGAAAACCCACCACCGACTCAGAGCTCAGCAGCCTGGTGACGCTCATCACAGAGAACAAGAGCCTGCCGACTTGCACATGTTCTGCCCCCCTCCCAACCACACTTACGTAGGGAGATACAGTTTTAGTAACTCTACAGGGGTTACAATGAAAACAACTGCTATTCAAATATTCAGTTACGTGACCAGACTGTTACAGAACATTTAGAAAGCAGGAAGGGCACAGTTTTCTATTAAAAAAATTAGCTTTTGGCACTTGAAGATACCTTCAATTACAGAAAAATTATTTTTAGCATACTTGCTTTTCCTTTTCTGAAGGTAAAATACAAAAGACAGCACAGTATTTAACATGTATCCCTACAAACAAATGGTCCGGGCAAAAACGAAGCCAAATAGAGTTTTTCATGTTAGCACGACAGGCAAATTACCAGAACTCTTCTATGCCTCAATTTAAATAACTCAGGGTATGACAACATAATTAAGCAGCTTTTAGCTAAGTCTTACAGATCATTTTGAGGACCAAGCCACAGCCTACATACTCTCCAGTGCTCCTGCACTGTCTCCTCCTAGAGCCCACCCACGCCTGAAGTCCCAGGTCGCTCACACTCACTGATGGCGAGTGAAGGCGGCAGGGGAGAAGAGGAAGGTGGGAAAGGACTACGCTGGCGTGGAACCAGCTCCATTCCTACTTGATTTACCGAGAATCTGACCCAGATCTCACTTGACAACTGTAAAAACTGCCTTACTGTTTTTCCACCTTGGTGAATCTTTTCTGTTGGCAAAATTCTTCCTGAGAAGGACAGTAAGTTGGAGTCAAAGCTCAAACCCCAGTCTCGAAGCTCTCGCTGCACATTGTCATCTCTGTGAAGTTAACACATTTACACACCACTCACATCAAGGAAACAGCAACAATTGAGAGACATATGCAAACAGAGACCCAATCCAGTGTACGTGCTCCTCTTGGGACTGAAGCCCTGGTGAGCGTGCTAGCAAATGCACAAGTACAGTCCACTCTTCTCTCATCACATCTACGATGTCCTTTGTGATGTCTTTAATTTAAAGGTCTGATGCCCACCCTCCTACCCCAAGGAGGCCCCTTGATACAACAAAGGCAGAACAGACTGGCCCAAGAGCCCTTCTTTCTACTCCATTACCATTTTCTAGTAGAAGAACCAGAAGGCCATGGACCACAGTCTAACTTTATTATTCCCTGACAAATGGCAGACTCACTGGGAAACACGAAGCACAAGCCCGCCCAGATACTTTCCATCACTTCCTCTGCAAAGAGCTACCTCCAGAACCCACAGAAAACACCAAACAGAAAAGGAAAGCCATGCCCCAGGGAAATGTAGGCGACTTACTTGTGAATATAATCAATAAGTCTTCCTACTTCCCGCTGCCTTTGCTCTGGAGTTAATCTTGTATGGACAGCTAGGTCTTTCATTACATTAAAATCATTCCGCATTTTATCAGTCAGACCTTTAAATAAAACATTAAAGTGCACGTTAAAGAAACAAAAGTTTAGTAATATGTGGGGCGATGAATGACAATGCCAAGGAAATGCAGCAGTTTTAAGGTTTTTCTGGGGGGAGGGTGTGGAGAGGGGAAGTGAAGGCCCGTCTGAGGACTGCCGGGGGCAGAATGCGTTACCAGTTCAGTGGCGTCACCCCCAGCACAGTCCCACAGTACCTGTCAGGTAGCAGAGCTCAGGAATGAGCATGGCGGGTCCTGGTAACGAGCCACCAGGGCCCCTCCTCCTCTTAGGCTGACTGACCAACACTGGTTGTTTCAAGTCCGTGATTTCTTGGTTATATTGCTATTCAAGGGGAGAAAGGTGCCACCATTCATAGCAAACGCCTTTAGAAACATGTCAATGGGCTACAGTTTTGTTTTTAATTAAGAACTGATGCAACAGCTAGGCTGGTATCAGTTTCAAGTTTAAAAACGTACTTTTAATCCCCCTAAAACAGGCTATGAGTCACATGCTCTACTGAGTACCTCACCCTTTTTCCTAGAAGTCTTGACTTATTGTCACGGTTCTATCTGTTTCTTCTTTTCCTTCTTGGTTTTGAATAGTCCTTCTCCACAGCCTCACCCCTCTAAGAGGAGGCTCACTCTAACAGCAAGCAGGGGAGGGGAGAGGTTCGTGCCACAGGACACTGTTAATCAGGAAGACTTTTTACAGAATTCTGACACTTTCAAGGAGCCAAACTTCAAGTAAGTAATATTAAGACACGCCACCTTAAGATTGGCCACGGCAAGCGCTGCTTAAAATAAATTTTTAAGCCACGATTCAACGCACGTACGAGATGAAGTCCGGCCTCCAGCTCCACTGCGCCATTCTAGAACCACGGCAGGTGTCTCTTGAATTATCTCCACTAGAGCTCTGGTCTTGTGATGGGAAGACCCTCTTTACTCTCTTCTCCCGTATCATTCTAACAACATCTTAACTTCCCGGTTAATCCAGCCATAGCTTTCCATTACAATAAAAACACACATCTCCACTGAACATTCAGAAAAAACAGGAGCATCACGGCCTTGTCTGTAGTCTCCTTCTCTCCCATGACTCCTGTCATGTGGCAAGGTCCCGGCTACTTTGCCTCATGAAATGTATCATGAATCTTAATTCCCTGATTTTGTCCTATATGGAGCTCTTCACCAGTCATCAAAGAAGAAAGTTTATTTTCTTATTCCAAACAAGAAAATTTCAAGGACACTCTTCATCTGTCCATTCAAACTCACCCAGCAGCGCCTTGGGGAGATCGGCCTAACAATCTGCTTCCGCAAGATCACACCCTTGAAAGCCCTATGGAGCAGTTCTACCCTGACACACATGGGGTCCCCACGAGTTGGAATCAACTCGATGGGAACTAACCAAAACAACTATGTATTGTATAACATTGTTCTCTTTATTAGCGGTCTAACCGTTAATGGCCACCATCCTTACAGCACGTCGACTGCTTGGGCACACACGCGTGGCAGACGCAAGGCATTAATTTCGGAAATGCCCCTACTCTCACACCCTACCTCACCAAAAGGCCTGGAATGCATAGTTCCCAAGTACACAACTTTGGAATCCCCCTTTCTATATTCTTAGGGCCTAAATAATAAGGTTGTCAATTCTTTTAACATTTTCTCTACCTTTAATACCTGCATCCACACTTCTGTTTAACATCTGTTAAACCTTTTCTTTTAAAAAACGATTGGCCGTAACCAAGTCATCACTTATTACCAAAACTGCATTTGCACTAGGAAGTCCTAAGAACGCCACGATTCCAACAGCTCAACCCCACTCCCTTTCGGTTAATTGTATCTACTGAAACACTGGCTATCCCCGGTGGAGAGAGGGGCTTCCCTGCAGCAGGGTCCAGCTGAGATCCACAGCACAGATGTGTGCACAGTGTTTCAGACAGAGAAGGCAGCGTGGAATCAGCAGCAGGGAACTCAAGCCAAGATGACACTGGCTTGTTTGCAACAAGCCCAGAGTAAGACGGTCCTTAGGACAACCTGTCAGTCACCTCCCTCCATAGTGGCAGCTTTCATTCACAGAGAGCAGTCAGAGACCAGGTCGTACGAGACAACCAGCAATGAGACATTTCGAAGGTCACTGGTCAGATGATACTTCTGGTACCAGACACAAATACACAACTCATTTACCCAGCTTTATGGAAACAGGAAATATTCTACTGAAAGTAGAAACAGTGAAATAAATTTCAGCACTTCAAGAATAAACTTTAAGATTTTTATAGTTTTCTAGAAATAATTTTCCTGCACTTTTAACAGAACACATGGAGTGGAACGTGAGGGCCAAATCCACACTCTGAATACTGACACAGTGCGAGCATCTGTTCCCAAACAAGCATTTCATCTCCTCCTAGCTAGCGGCTGCTCTTTCTTACTGCTGTTTGCCTCTGGCGGTCTTTTCAATCTGGTGATTACTGTGCCAAAAGCAAGAAACATCTTTGTAAAACTAGGGCTGGAAGATCACCCAGTCAACTCATGTGGCCTACGTGAAATAAATAAGCCCGCCTAAATTTCAGCAATGCGTAAATCACAAGTTATGAGTTAACCCATATGCAAGAGATCTAGCCCAAGTGATACTCCAGATTCAAAGGTCTTTAACCCCCTTCTAACTTAAAGAAAGTGTTGATTACAGGGTGAGGGGCAGTATGGTGAGCTGCTCTCACTGTGCACCCCGTTATCCCACCTATTTGTCCTCCACGTGTGTAAACTCAAATACAACCTTTCATTCTAGCAGAAAAGGGAGCCAGGACAGGGCAAGTCTCACGATGTGAACTGTGCCAATGAAAGGCGGCGTTTTCATAACCTGAGAACGGGCTAAACTTAGTTAAGCTGTGACTGCCCTAATGAAGACAGCTTTGGACAACTTTAAAAGCACCTTGTTTCAAATGTGCAACGTGTTAGCAAACTCAACTGAAGATACTTCAGAATTATACTAAGATCTTCGTATTTCATATTTAAAAAGATAAAAAACATTAACTTCATACCTTCCTGTAGTACTCTAAAAAGCTGACTTCAGAGCCATCTGCTTTCTTAAAGGTACTCTTAGGGTTCTGGTCCCAGTCAATATCATCTACTCTATATGTCTTATTGTTATACCTACGGAATGATTGAGATTTGGTTTTTGATTAAAGTAAGTAGATGTAATAATAAATTGGACTGTATGTTAACTCTAAAGATTTCAAATCACCTAGTAATACACAATGTGACGGAAAGAGGAAGGGGAAAGAATTGCTTAGACTATGCCAGATGGATGGGGGAACTGACTGACTAAATACTATTAGAAAACAAAAACTGAAAGGAATAAAAATCATTAGATACTTGTCCTTTCCAGATAAGTACACTCCCCAAAACACAGTTCTTGAGAAAGGTGACAAGTGTCCCTCCCCCGTTTTCATGCCCTTCCCGACATTCAACTTTAACACTCACTTCCTATCTCACACTACAGGACTAGATTGCCATATTATCTGGAGACTTACAAAATGACTATTTTTCACTTTAGAAAGCAGTCTTACTTGGTAAGAACAATTAAACCTATTAGCTCTTTAGAAACTTGTTCTTGAAATTTATGTTCCTCGGTCTGATGATATAAGTTGAACATGAAATCTAACACGGTTTCACTCCGAAGGACTTTGTGGCTGACATCAGTGCAGAGCATGATGTTGTTTTCATACTGAAGAATCGAAGTCGTGAAGCCAGGCCAAATCACCAGCCTGTCAAGTAAAATGGAAGTCACAACAAGACCTCTATGAATATCCAGACATGTCTTAGATGTACCAGGTTGAGGTTTTCACCTTTATTAACTGGGTCTAAATTAAAACATTTCTGATGGAGTCAGTTTACTTATTGCTAGGTTTTCTGTGGTTCCAGATAGAGATCTGCGTTTGAGACCTTTAACAATGAATTCCCCTGTGAATTTATACCTTCTATTTTAAAAACATACACTGACTGGTTTTATTAAGTGATTCTTTATGCTGGCCTAAGACTTGAAAGAGTTGCAATCTAAAGGAAAGCACCAACAATTATTGTAATAAATTACTTGGCCTGCCATCTTGATACATACAGTACAGTAACCTTAGAAATAATTACTATAAGCTTCTGATATATTTTATCACCTGACAGTAAAACACAAGCTTAGTGTTAGACAATCATTTATGCTTCTCCAGTGACAGACAAATACCACATAATTTTCTTTTTAAATCCACATCTTCCAGAATGTATCTTTATTATTCAAGCAAAGTTAAATGTCCACTTAATGTGACAGGTACCATTCAAAAGCCATACTGGTAAATTTGATCATTTCAAATTAGAGCATTACTTTCAAAGTTTGTGATTAATTTCCCACTTCATACAAACCTATGATTTGGAATATCAATTGGGTCATTTGGGTTATAATAATTCCGTCCAATTTGTTGCAAATTCATGATCTTTAGAAGCCTAGAAATCAAAAGGTCAGAACAGTTAAAGAGAAGTGAATATTCATAAGTTATCTCTAATACTACAATCAGAATGGCATGTTGTTTAGAGCACAAGTCAGCAAAACTAGAGCCCATGACCAGGCCAAATCTGGCCTGCCTGCTGTTCACGTATAGCCAGTGGACTAAGACGGCTTTTACTATCTTAGCTGACGGAATAAAAATCGAGTATTTCGTGACATGTGAATTATATAAAACTCAAGTGTCAGCATCCATCAATAACATGTTACTGAAGCACGCCAGGATCAATCATTTACATACTGTCTGCGGCTGCTTTCACAGCATCACGGAGTACTGAGTACTGTCACCAGAGACCGTGTGGTCTGCAAAGCCTAAAAGATGTGCTATCTGGTCCTGCACTGGACAAGTGTGCCAAGCTCTCATCTAGAGAAAAATACGTCTATCAATTACATTAACTCAAACAAGTATCTAGCTGTCATCAGTGACAGAGCTATGACAACCTACAAACGCAAATTACAAGTCCATCACTCCCATGCAAATTATCAATATGCCAGTTTCAGCCTCATTCCAGACTGCTTCTCATGCAGGAAAAAAAAAAAAAATCTCTGCAAAACCTTGCATTTAGAAAGCACAGTGTCAACATCGAGAGTCAATTACGAGCATGCAGTGTGTCTCCTGTGATGGACAAAGAACACCTGAATAGCCCTAATCCTGTCCCTCTTTCCGAGCAGGCACCCATTTGTGGGTGCGGGGGAAAGGGAGAAGAAATATAAAGTTAGTGATAAGCTCCTGAGCATATGTATTCCTACACAAGTTCAAATAGTATTTCCAAGATCTAACATCAATGCAAATAGGGGAGTTAAAGACATAACACTTGCTTAAAGCAAAAAAAATAAGTTGTATTATCAGTAAACCACACCTTCAACAACTGAAATTCAGAGTAATCCAGCAATCCTAACAACCATCACAGAATCTAAGTGATACAGGTATTCACAGGACAGTTCTATCCACTTTTCTGTATTTTTCAAAATGTTCTTAATGATTAAAAAAAAAACTACTACCATACCTCCTGAAAATAATGTTATAGAACTGCAGACAAGTTGGGGACGTGGGTGGAAGCTCGTTTGTTAATGTGATGGTTATCCTCACGTGCTCTCCATTTCTGGTCTGACTAAACACTTCAGTCACCTGAGGCAGGAGGGTGGAAAACCAAACTTTTAAATTGTTACAAGAAAAACGAGCCCAATCCCATAATGCCTGTTTAATATGGCAGCATTTTCAAGCACAGAAAAGTTTCAAATGGCCTTAAAAGGAAGAATGGCGGTGAGACAGGAGCAGTTCGGCCTGACTACATTGGACCTCATGAGGTTACTTAGGTGGGTTTGTGATGAGTCCTGTCCGACGGGAGACCCCGGGGCCTCTCTGAAAGCTGTAACGAGTAGCCTGCGCCGTGGCCGTTTGGCTGGGAAGAGGAAATCCTCCCCCGCCCCGTCCACGCAGACATTTGAAATAACCTTGTGTTGCAGTCTTTTAGGTAAAAACAGTATCGTTCCATCAAAAGCATGACACCTTCCAATTAAATCTTCATGTTGAAAAAGAAGAGCTGACCGGAGTCTTCTGGCTTCCATCAGTGGGTTATAGTCAATGTGATACTGATACAGGGCCCACTGGGGACGGGACGTCAGTCGAAAATGGTTGGTGCTGAGCCTTACTATCATCCCCGAAGAACCTGTAAAAGTCAGCCAGAATCCATTAGCAAGACATCAAGCTCGTCACTCTGCACCATGACAGAGCAGACAGTCTGCAAAGGGAAGGCGCCAAGCAGCGGACAGTGTACGAGCTCGCACACGCCAGACGCTGGGACCACTACACTGCCCTGTCTACTCAGATCATGCCTAAAGAGCATGCACTGAGATATTAATCCCCTCACAAGAAGTATTTAACAAAAACCAAACAAATCTCTTCATGGTTAAGAAGTTTTAAAGAAGGAATGGTGATCTGTGTAATATTTAATAAAACAAGATTTCAGTGCCGCTGAAGACATCTATAACCTACTTCATCAAAGCCAGCAGGGAAAGAGAGGAAAACGGAAAAGGCATGCAGGATCCTTGACTAAATGTGCTTTTTCTTCGTAGTAATACATCATATAAACAAACAGGTAAAATAAAGAGCCTCAACTTATTGTCCTCTGTACTTGACAAGTAATCCCATAAGGCTGCACTCTTAATAACTAACCCACCTGTTTTTGACTCTTTAACATGGTCGAGGTTCTGTCTCGTATTCACTCCGAGATCATGGAAGTCTCTACGACGACCTCCTCTCTCTGCTAATGACAACTCCTGAAATCCAGCAGATATCTGGAGTTCTTTAAAAAGAAACATGAAAAGCATATACCTAAGCAATATGAAAAATGGAACAAGGAACACTATATAAAGCCCAGAGGCTCCTGAGGTACTGAAGATAATGCATAACATCACCATCAAAATGTGCCAGGTGTCTGCTGACCAAAAAGGGAGAAGAGCTCCATAACCATAACCCCTTCCATGAAGCTTCCTTGTCACTGCCCCAGCAAACTCAGGCCTCCCTTACAAGACATACACACCTTTACTCAGTAGTGACCACATTCTGTCAGTTATTTGCAGACAGCTTGGGAATTCTGCAGAAAATCAGAAACCATCTCTTTTGTCTTGCCTAGCCCTAAATACAGTCCTTCTTTAAAAAAAACCTAGACAACAGAACCATGCTGACTGGGAAATTACTTCCTCTGCTATGGAATCCCACCACGATCAAGAGTCGTCCTTAAACTCAGCATTGTCCAGCGTGCCAGGATGCACTGACGGCCACAGGAATCAGCAGTTTATAAAGTTTAAACCTATGACCTGAATTAAAATGTGAAGTTCTCACTATTTAATGCTCTTAAGAGCCAGCAGAGGGACACACGGGCCTGTCCATGTCCTATCACCGTGATTCCTTAACATGGTCGAGGTTGTCTCATATCCATTCCAACACTGTGACAGTCTCTACAATCTCCTCTGTTAACGGTAATTCCGGAAACACTGGGATAGGTAACACAGGTACTTATTTTATTATCATCTCATGCTTAGTTTTAAAGCTGTGGTTACAACAGTCTAAATGAAATCATTTGTTTTGCAGAAAAGTGTACAATTAAGACCCTCAGACTAATGGTATGATGCAAGACAAAGGATGAATATGGGCTTTGCAAGCTAAATGTTAACATTCTAGCTGTGATGAAGAGACTGTTAGCTGCCTACCCAAAGATGAATCTCATCTTTCTTCAAAAAAATTTTTATTTTGGGAGTAAAGTACCTAATAGAACAGAAGTTCCACTTTGCCTGCAGCTCAGGTGGCCTAAGAGATTTCAGCAGAAATTACGGGGTTATACTTCTGGGAAAGCTACTTAGGAGTAGAGTCAGTAGCTGGCTTGTGTCTTTTATGTTCTTCATGCCCCTCGCCCACCAATCTTGCCCAAACTCTGGATGTGATGGCAGGAGTTCCATCAGCCATCCTGAACCGGAGGTGAATCTTCCTGATGAAAGTCATGGCCTACTCGAAAAGACTTGCTTCTCTTATGACCACAAACACCAGAACTAGCCCAGAACGGCCTACCTCTGGACTTCTTCAAGGGAGCGACAGTGGCTTAAACAAGATATTTCTGTTATTTAATAAGTTATTTAACGTGAGCTTCAATTTCCTCAGCCGGAAAATTGAAGATAAACATCACAGGCATATAGTAAGTTTTAAATGACAGTACAGTTTAAAAAGCACTTTGAAGGTGCTAAATACACTGGGTTCCTGCACCTCATGATTTGTAGATGCTCCATTTTACAATCCTCCAAATAGGTAACTGTTCATATTTGTCTCCCTCAACTTGTTATCCCAGAGACTTCCATTACCATGGGTAATTACACTGACATGGGGTATGAAAACAGAATCCATCCTGATGGTAATGATGGGGCAGGAAAGCCTGATTTGTATTTTTTCCTGAAAAATCTGAATTTGCCTTAAAAAAATCAGACCTGAATCCAAAAATCTGATTGCAACTATATGAATATACACAATGATGAAGTCTGTTTCCCTCTCTACATCTAACACTGCTATTATTACATTTAGCTGAAGCTTCATTGACTGTCAAATCTGTAAAGATGACACATTTCTGAATGGATAAGATCAGAAACCTTGCCAATTCCACCTTCCATGCAACTATAGATTAATTTATTGTAAACACATCAGACCTTGCCACTAACCTATTTTAAAAAATCCTTCAGTGTAGCCATACACTGCCCTCCTCCACTTCTACAGAACGAAAATCAAGGTCCTCAACAATGTTTCCTTCACAATAAATCTGTTAAACTTGTCCTATTAACATCTACAACGTAGAAGATCCTTGAACATTTATTTTGACAAGCATTCTCATATATAATCCTCACAAGAGCAGTGAAACATCACATAATAGGGCCTTGCATTTGCTATCCTTTACATTATTTAATATAAATAACGTGGTCCACTGTGCAAGGAATGACAAATTGATGAGGAATGACATTGCATTAATCATCAAAAGGAAAACATTTCAAGATCTATCCTGAAGTACAACACTATCAGTGAGAGGATAATATTCATACGCCTAAGACAGAATTTGGTTCTATACGCCAACAAGGAAGACCAGTTAATACGACTATTCCTGAAATGTATGCACCAACCACTAAGGCCAAAGACGAAGAAACTGAAGATTTTTACCAACTTCTGCAGTCTGAAATCAATCAAATATGCTATCAAGATGCACTGGTGAGACTCTGAAACTTGCTCTTGAATGCAGACTAGCTAAAGTAACTAGAAGAAACGATGACGTAAAGAAGCTGAACAGAAGATTTCAAAGGGCGGCTCAAGAAGACAAAGTAAAATATTATAATGACATGTACGAAGACCTGAAAGTTAGAAAACCAAAAGGTTAGAACACATTCAGCATTTCTCAAGCTGAAAGAACTGAAGAAAAAATTCAAGCTTCGAGTTGCAATAGTGAAGGATTCTATGGGCAAAATACTGAACGATGCAGGAAGTATCAAAAGAAGACAGAAGGAATACACAGAGTCACCGTACCAAAAAGAACTCGTCAGCATTCAACCATTCCAGGAGGGAGCATATGATCAAGAACCAATGGTACTGAAGAAAGAAGTTCAAGCTGCACTGAGGGCACTGGTGAAAAGCAAGGCTCCAAGAATTAATGAAATACCAATTGAGATGTTTCAACAAACAGATGCAAGGCTGGAGGTGCTCAATCATTTACGCCAAGAAATTTGGAAGACAGCTACCTGGACAACCGACTGGAAGAGATCCATATTTGTGCCCATTACAAAGAAAGGAATACAACCGAATGCAGAAATTATCAAACAATATCATTAATATCACAGGCAAGTAAAATTTTGTTAAAGATAATTCAAAAAGGGTTGCAGCAGTATATCAACAGGAAGCTGTCAGAAGTTCAGGCCAGGTTCAGAAGAGGACACGGAACAAGAGGTATCCATGCTGATGTCAGATGGATCTTGGCTGAAAGTAGAGAATACCAGTATGATGTCTACCTGTGTTTTACTGATTATGCAAATACATTTGACTGTGTGGATCCTAAAAAACTACGGATAACATTGCGAAGAATGAGAATTCCAAACACTTCATTGTGCTCATGTGAAACCTAGACCAAGAGGCAGTCATTCAAACAGAACAAGGAGATACTGTGTGGTTAAAATCAGGAAAGGTGTGTGTCAGGGTTGTATCCCTTCACCATACTTGCTCAACCCATATGCTGAGCTGGACTATATGAAGAATGCAGCATCAGGATTGGGGAAGACTCATTAACAATCAGCAATATGCAGATGACACAACCCTGCTTGCTGAAAGTGAAGATGACTTGACGCACTTACTGATGAACATACTATTGTATGATTTAATCCTCATAATGACCCTTATCTATAAAGGTAGACACTACCTTTTTACAGGTGGGGAACTGAGTTTCATAAGATAAACGTAAGCTCATGAATAACTGGTAAAAAAAAAAAAAAAACATTATTAGACTGGTATACAAAATGTTTTAAGAGATCAGATTTCAGAATTTCTTAAAACGATATTTGTATTTTAAGGGTACATTATAAGGAAATGTTTCTTAAATAGCTTCAAGACATCTTTTAGCACAAAGCTTTAACTCAGTGAAATCTTACTGTATATACTGAACATAAACGAGCAACAAAACAAACATTCTGTTTCAGGAGAACTGAGGTATCAAGATTAGAAAAAGAAATAAACTCCTATAAATTTAAAGAGATTGTTGTGATAGTTAGGTGCTGTCGAGTTGGTTTCAGCTCACAGCCATCCTATGTACAACAGAACGAAACACTACCCAGTCCTGCCCCATCCTCACAACTGTTGTTATGTTTGAGCCCAGTGCTGTAGCCACTGTGTCAGTCCATCTCATGGAGGGTCTTCCTGTTTCGCCGACCCTCTGCTCTGCCAAGTATGATGTCCTTCTCCAGGGACTGATCCCTCCCGATAACATGTGCAAACTAAGAGAGATGAAGTCTCACTATCCTCACTTCCAAGGAGCATTTTGGCTGCACTTCTTCCAAGACAGATTTATTTTTTTGGCAGTCCGTGGTATATTCAATATTCTTCACCAACACCATAATTCA